GGCCGCCGCTGCAGTGGTCTGCTTGACCGCGTTGGACAGCGACGAGAAGAAGCCACCGCCCCCCGAGGACCCGGGACTAGGGACAGCTGGAGAGGCCACGGGTGCTGCCGAGGAAGCCCTCTCAGCAGTGGCAGTCGCGGGACCGGGCGTGACCCCAGGGCTGGGGGCAGTGGGCGGTGGAGGGGGCGGCTGCGGGCGCTGCAGATCTGTCATATACCCATTTGGCAGATTGGCCATGAAGTTGCTGTCCGACAGGCGGCGCCGCAGGTAGTTCATGGCTGCAGCCCTGGGCAGGGGGTCCTAGGGGCAGTCTGACCAGGGGGAGCGGGGGCGGACCGCGCGGGGCCCAGGAGCACAGCTGCGCTCTCAGGCACGATGCGACTCCTCCGCTGCCCGCCGCAGACTGAGGCAGCGCTGAGTCGCCGCCGCCGCAGCGCGGATGGTCGCGCCCGTGCCTCCCTATCTCGCGCGCCGTGTGGTGTAGTCCAGCTGGGCCATTGGCGGTGCGGACGCGACCAAGGCGGCCAAGAAGGGGAGTTTGTGGAGGAATGGCGAGTGACGTAAGTGCGCCTTCAGTGCTGGGGCCGCGGTGGAGCACGCCATCAGGCGGGGGCGAAGGCGCTGTCCGCGGTGCTGAAGTTGGCAGTGCGCACGCGTAGCGCCGCATCCTCTTCCCCTCCCCCTCCGATTGGGGATGCGCAATTTGAGGAGTGGGGGCAGGGTGGTTGTTTTCTCCCGGAGGGTCGTAGCTGGTGGGCAGGCGGGTACCCTACCCCGACTCATCCTGGTCCTCGCATCCACTTGGTCACGCAGGACTCTGCAGATAACTCTGTTTCCAGTGTTGATAGTCACTGCAGAAGGCAATTTGGGGAACAGGGTGGAGGGCACATTGGAGACAGAAAACTGGAGAAATAACCCCTTATGGTGAGATGTGGGGTCACATACACAGTGCCCTGTGGCAAGATCAGTATCTCATGTCCTCATAGGCTCAACCAGGCAGAGAGACGGGTGCAGGGGCGGCATAGACAGCCTCAGACACGCGGAGGTGGACACTTGGGCGGGGTACACACCCTTGCCATCCATGGAGGGACTCTGGAGGCACACAGGGAATAACACACACGTGGAGATACATAGATGTAAGGAAACACATGGGGGCATGCACAGACAACACACCCAGCTACAGGCACACACACACACACAGGCACCACATAGAGAAACTCAAGGAAACTCACACGAGCATGCAAACCCAAATAAAACACAAACTCACAGAGACCTATTCTCTGCAACTCTAGTCCTGATGATTGTCACTCCCCACCCCTCCAACAATTTTGGTCTATAAGCTCCCATACCTCTGTCTTGGACCTAGCCAAAGACCATGCTAACCATCTCATGACAATCACCATGGCAATCTCCCCTTGCACCCAAGAACATCCCACAGACAGAAGCAGATCAAGCCTAGGGCATGCACACAGTAGGTGCCAAATAATATTTGCCAAATGAGCAAATGATCATTTTATTATTTTTTTTAACATGTTTTTAAAAGTTTGATTTGGGTGAAAGTTTACAGATCAAATTGGTTTTCCATACAATTCATACACATTTTGTTTTATGACATTCATTGCAATCCCCACAATGAAACAGTAGTCTTCCCACTTCCTCCCTGTGTTTACCATTTCCCTCCATCCTTTCCTATCCCTTTCTGTCTTCTTTGCTTTATCCCTTGGCAAATGCTGCACTTTTGATCTCATGTAGTTGACTGTTCTAATGAGTGTGTACCTTCTTGATATTATTGTTCACCTTATAGGTCTATCATTTGACTGAAAATTGACCCATGGAGGTGACAAATTACCTTTACAGTCGTGGCAGAGGTGAGTTGTGGCAAACATCTTGTCGACTCCTACCACCCAGACTACAATGAAATCACAAATCCATTTAAAAATAATCATTTATTAGATGATCGTACTCAACACTGAACTAAGCTGTTTACATGCATTGTCTAACTTAATCCTCAAAACAATTCTATGGAATGGATAATGTAATTTCCATTTTACAGATGAGGGAAACTGAGGGCTCAAATTTATTTCCAAAAGGTCATATTCACTTTGTGATTCATAGTTGTTGTCTTTTAAGAATATGCTAGGAAGAGGGAACAGCTAGCACCAGTGTGACTGAAACAAAATGATTGTGATAGAGAGGTTAACAGGGGCCAGATTAGGTATGGGCTTGGGGGCCATAGTGAGCAATGATGGTGGACCAGATGAGATGACAGAAGACATAGTGAGAAGTAGACAGATTTGGGATCTCTTGCCTGTGGGATATTCAGGTGAATCATCCATTTATTCATTTGTTCATTCATTAAATCATTGGCCCATTTAAACAAGGCAGTAACAGTGTAGAGTGTGGAGGCAGAGTGGCTAGGTTCAAACTGGGCCTCTACCAACCATACCCTTGGGAAAGTGACTTACCTTCACTGAGACGGTTTCCTCATCTGTAAAAAGTGGATGATCATCTGCACCACCTCCAAGGAGAGGATAGAAGGGGCAGCCTCTGTGCCTTTGCATGTATTGTGCTCAGGAATGCCCTTTTTCTCCCTCTCTCAAGGGCAACCTTTGTCTATTGCCTCCAGGAAACCCCCTGCCCTCCCCTAGGCTCCCCATCTTCCCCAAGGTTACCACAGTTCCTATGTCAAACACTTCCTAAACCATCCTCTACATCCTCCCTCCATTTCAGCCAGCTCCAGTACCACCTCCAGGCCCTTTGCTTGGCCATTCCTTCCCCCTCCCTCCAGGATGTCCTCTCTGGCATTCCAAATCTCAGTGTTCCCCAGATGAGGAACTCCTCATGAATTGGGGAATTTTCCAGCATTTTGAAATATGTGCTCCCCAGTTTTTTGATCAGTAACCAAAGAAAACAAGCTGTTTTGGAATCATGGTGCCTTCTCTGGGGACAGGAGCAGCTGCAGGCTTGCAAACCTTCCTGGCCCCTCTGAGCCCAAATTTGTGCTCCTCAGGAATCTGTCTCCAGACTGTGCCTCTTCTCAGGAGACCTATTCCTAGTACTCATGGCTCCCAGGGCTATCCCCTTTCTCCAGGTGGCTCAACTTCCAGACGTTATTTTTTTCATAGATTGTTACATAGATGAATGCGCATGCTCCCTAGGAGTGTCTCAACTCCCTGAGAAAGAGGTAGGACAACTCTGCACTGTCTTTATCTTCTCCAGCAGGAATGGGTGTACAGAGGGCACTCATAGCTAATAAGTGTTGAATGAATGAAAAAAATGCTAAGGGAATGAACGTGTCTGGGTTTCTTTAGGGGGCTCCTCCAGGCAGATGCGGACTCTAGTTTCTCTTTGCTCCCACTCCAGCTCAGAGCACATCATAGCCACTTCCTTGATCCGCCCCCCCCACCTCGCAGAGCTATTTGCTGCTGCTAATTGTGGCACTGGAGCTGTGCTATTGGGAGTGGGTGGGTGCAGGTGCTCACGCAGTGGGGCGCCAACCATGACCACACTTCTGCCACTGTTTAATGCTGGATTGGCCTGGAATTGGCCAGCCCAGACTCTGGTGGGTGGTAACCTAAGGATTGCTTCAGGAGGTGGGGAGACTGCAACTGATAAGCATGCCTGACAATCAGGAAGTGTCTGCCAGGAGGAGCAGCCAATCAGAAAACCTGTAACACGGAGCTCTGCAGAGGGACGTGCTGGGCGGCCTGGGGCACTGGGGTGCAGACATTGGGGTAGGACAGCAGCAATGGGTAATCAGGGTTTGACACTTGCCTCGGCTCCTGCCAAACAGTGGCCACAGCAGAAAACACTCTTTCCAACAACAGGTGCCCCACTCCTGGGAAAGGGGATTGGAAGCTTTTCCTGCTTCAAGGAGCCTTTGAAGAGGCTGGTTTATTAAGGTCTGAAAGGTCAGGGGGTAGAGTTGAAAGGAGATGAGTTAGGGCTTCTCTTTCTCAGGGTCTACGCAGGCAGGTACGTGTAGACATGGCCGCTTTTCCTCCACCACCAGCTTCTGGCCCTGCAGCTCCTTGCACTGCGGCCACATTGTCCCCCAGAAGGTCACATTCTTCTCGCCCTGACCTTCAACTGTGGAAACGGTGGGCCTAGGGTATTGGGGGGGCAGATGGGAGAAACTCAGGGAAGGTGCATTCAACAAACTCTTATCAAGTAGTGTGCCCAAGGCTACTTTTTATCTGTGAGGTATTAGGCAATTTATCCTCCCTGTGCCTCAGTTTTCCTCATCTGCAAAATGGGAATAACAACAATAATAGCCACCCACCACATTTGGCTGGGTAGAGTGCTCACAGCAGTGCCTGGAACACAGTAAGTGTTCAATAAATGCTGTTAATTGCTACTTGTTGCTATCTCTTCCCACTGCCCCCTGGAAAAAAACCAAATGCCTTGTCCTGACATTCAAAGTTTTGTTGTTAGGCCCAAAACTCTGCCCCCAACCCTGATCTCTAACTCTCCTCTACTTTATCCAGACTCAGTCTCATATCCAGAAAGGTCTTTGCCTGAGTTATTTCTCCCAACTGGCAGGCCCTCCATTCACTTCCATCCTGACTCTTTCACTCAGTCATTCCTCCATTTATTCCTTCAGTCAAGTCCTTCATGCCTCCATTCAATGCACCTAACTCATCTTCAGAATACTCTAAACACCACAGCTTGGTGACCACATCTTGCCTCCAAGATGGCAGGTCTTCCACAAGTTGGGAATTTAATCTAGTAGCTTGATGTATGTAGAATAAGAAAGGGATGAATTAATGAATGTTCCGACCTCTCCAACACCTGGGCCACTCTGGTCACAGGGAAACACTTCAGGTGGCTGATCACCTGTGTCCAGGACTACACTCACACAATCTTGATTCTAGGAATGCCTTTTCTGACTCCCACCTGCTGGAGGAGGCCCAATCAGCTTCATGGGCTCAGGTTGAAGTGACAATCCATTTTCCATGCACCAACTGCTCCTTATATGCCATCTGTCAGTACACTACCACCTGGGATCCCTTGGCGGCTACCTTGGGGGATCTATGGGTTCTGGTACTATGTGTCTGCCAATTGTTGCCTAACCGGCCTTGGAGTGAGGCCTGAGTGACTGAATGAGTAAATCAAAGCATGGGTAACTGAGAGATAAGAGGAAATGCACACACGAAGGATTGAATGAATGGTAGAATGGCTGACTGCGGGGCACAGAGACTACTAACTCTTCCTCAGTATCTTTCTTCCTCATTTTCTTTAGTATCTGCCCTCTTCCTGCAGCTGGGAGATGGCACCCATCAAGGCAGGCACCTTAGACCTAGTGGTAGAAGCCCTGGCTGGGGGGTACTGACTCCCTGGCTCTGACTGCTGACATAGCACAACCCCCGCTTAGGCACATTCTGCCCCCTCACTCACGAGAAATTGGGGAATGGAGCTGTGCAGAGGCGCTGGCGGGCACGAGTGGGGGTGGGTCCACAAGGAGGCAAGCACAGACCCCAGTTACTCCACTCTGACCATGAGCCTTCCCCTGGAACAAGGGGGAAAGGGTAAGAAAGTCAAAGTTGGAGGTTTCAGTGGTAAGAGAGGCTGCAGGGACATGGGGCCCATGGCAGAGATTCAGAGAACTCTTGTCCCTGCATAGGCTGCCCTGCCCTCACAATACAGTCTGTGGAGGCACTCACAACGACAGCGATGGACATTGTAGCAGTGCCGGATTTCCTGTTGTTTCCCAGCACACCGCTGTCCATCAAACTTGCGGCCATTGCAGTCCCTGGAGCGTGTCTGCTGCCCTGGGATTTCCTGACAGCTGATAGTCTTTATGTTCCTGCGGGTGCAGGGGCTCCACTCCCCCCAGGACTCCCACTCTCCATCCACTGCAGAGATGGGGGCAACAGAGGCTGAGATCAAAACAGGGAGCCAGCCAGGAAGTTCAGAGGAAGGACTGAGGGCTGGGGGGCAGGAAGGGGGATGATAAGATATGGGAATAGGGGATGAGAGGTAGAACCAAAGTGTCAGGGCCAGGAATGGAGGAGTTAGAGATAGGAACAAGGCATCATCAGCAGGAACCAGGCAACAGAGATGGGTAGGGGGGCTTAGGCATGGAAGTGGGGTGTCCTGAGGTGCTGACCAGGGCAGGGCACAGCCGTATTGCAGATGTGGGTCCGCGTGGAGTCACCAGCACAAACAGGACCTCCATGCTGGGGCAGAGGGTTATTGCATGTCCGCCGTTCCAGGATCTGGCCCAGGCCACAGGTCACAGGGCATGGGCTGATAGGGCCCCATGGTCCCCAGCCCCCAGCCACTGTTGGGTGGAAATGAGAGTGAGGAGAAAGGGCATCTCAAATGGCAACCCCACCTCCACCAGCCTCTAGACTTTCAAGGCAGAGTGCTCCCAAATGAAAAGCTCCATGGTCATACCATATCCTTTGCAATGGCAGAGTATCTGTGCCTTGAATCAAGAGAATAGTGTCAAAGGCTTCATTCCTTCATACCTGGACAAGGTGGCAGGCCAGAACAGCTTCGCTGCTCATAGGCTGGCCCTGTGCAGGGCTTCCCAGGAGGCTTTGTGGAGGGCCCAGGCGCAGAACAGGTGCGGCTTCGTCTCTCCATAGGCACTTGGGGTCCACCGTGGCAGGAGCTCGAGCAGGAACCCCAGGGGCCCCATTTGGCCCAGGCCCCATGTACTATGATGGGTGAGGGTAGAAGATACCAAGTGTGGTCATTCGTGCTCAAGTCCCCCAACCCTGGCAGTGGTCTGGATGTAACCCCACTGATCTACCCTATGTGGCTCCCATCAGTGCACTGTGGCTGCCTTTACTCACTGGGGCAGACCTGCTGGGTGTCACAGGCTTCTGATTCCTGTGCTTCTCCTGGACAGTGGCCCCCACACTTGGGGGCAGGGCGGTTACATTCTCGTTGCCGGGTCCGGGTGCCTTTGGAGCAGGTGACAGAGCAGGGCTTCCAGGGCCCCCAGTCAGACCAGCCACCCATCTCTGTAGGGGAGAAAAGGGAAGCAAGATGGAGGTGGGGGTGTCATTCAGGGCTCCTTGCTTCCTCATGTACTCCACACCTGGGCTATATTGAATCTCACCCCTACATCCTCTGCCCCCATGCCTGGTCCGTTGTCACTGTTCATTTAGACTACTGCACTGGTTCCTCTGCTTCCCTGTCACTACCTACAGTCTGTCCCCAGCACAAAAATGAGAGAGATCTTGTCACAACCCAAGTCAGATCATGTCTCTCCTCTGCTCATGACCCTCATCACTTAGAATAAAAGCCAAAGTCCTCATTGTGGCCCGGAGGCCCTACACAATCAGGTGACCCATCATTTCTCAGACCTCACCTCTCATTATTCATCTCCTCACTCACTGTGTTCTACACTGTCCTCCTCCTTATTGTTCCTCACAAACATTAAGCAAAATCCCACCCTCAGGATTCTGCGCTGATTGTTCCTCGGGCTAGGTAACAGGGAATGCTCACCCACCTTGCTGATCCTACTCACCAGGACAGCATGGCATGTCCTGACAGGCCTGCAACTGCCACTCAAGAGTCCCAGGCTCCACCTTCTCAGAGCACTGCCTGCCCTGGCCTATACAGCGTCGGTACCGCAGCTGGGAGCCCTCAGAGCAGGTCACCGAGCAGGGGGCCCATTCAGACCACGGTGACCATCGTGAGGATCTGTGAAGAGGAGCACACACGTCCCTTCCTGGTATGAGCTAGTGCAGTGGAAGTGGCAAGAATGGCATGTGGGACTGCGGAGTGTGGGTAGGCAGACATGGGTGCTAGATAAATGTGTGTGTAATGGATTGATAAGAGCACCTACCTCTTAGAGATGTTGCAGGATTGTGTAAGAAGAGGTGGGCATAGAGGAATTGCTTAAAAATGTCATTTACCTTCACAATCAGGGACCTAGAGTCACTCTTGGAAATCCCTAAGGACAGTGCCAGGCACGCAGTAAGCATAAGGGCTAGGGCCCTAGAACTGTAGTCAGAAACACACCCAGTCACCACTCTGCATAGTGGCAAGTAAACAGTAAGTGTTTAATAAATAAGAACCAATTTTCTGATTAGGAACTCAGAGCCTCCCTCAGAAATACCCTAGATCTATCCCCAAACATACACTGTGAGTACTGGGCATGTTGTTAATGCTAAGTAGATGTGAATCCAGGGCTGCCCTTAAAAATTTCTAAGCTCTTAGTGACTGGTATACCATCTGATCTGCAACCTATACAACAATGAGACCAGAAGAACTAGATGGTGCCCAGCTACCACTGTCATTCACTTGGAAGGGATGTAGGAGATCCTGCATAGAGAGGGAGAACAATGTGGA